GGGGTAGGAGGAGCGCGGCTGCGCTGCTCCAGGCCCGGCCGCCGCGCACCTGCCCTGCTGGCGCGGCCTGCGGGGAAGCCATCTCGCCCCCACCTGGCCGGCTCCCCGGGCTCTGCGGGGCCGCGGAACCCGTTGCCCACTGCCCATTCCCGGTCGGAGCTCTCCGCACCCCACCAGCCCTCTGCCGATTCTCTTACAAGCTTCCTGCTCCGAACTAGGCCCTCCTTCCCTTCCGCACCCCGGGGAGCGCCTACCCACCGCCAGTCCCTGGCTGGAGTCGACCTCCCCTCCCCAAAGCCTCGCTCTCCATCCCCAGACTGGGGGGCCTCCCTAGCCTCCTCATCTCTCTCATCCACTGATCCTACCCCAAACCGTCAGCTGCTCGGGGCTTCAAGAGGTGGTTGAACTGCGGGGAGAAGAGCGTGGGCTCTGAAATAGATAAATCTGGCTTGAATCAGTGACCTTGGGCAAGTCACCTAACTTCCCTGAGGGTTTTTTTTCCTGATCAGTACAAATACAATGGGAATAATAATAGTATAGAACCTTGCTCTCTGTGAGGGTTAGACTGTGAAAATGCCTGTCTTCGAGGAATGTAAGACATTATGAGAAGAAGAAAAAAAAAAAGGAGTTGGAAGAATCCAAGCCAGGAGCTGACTTGTAAAAGCTCCAAATGTTTTCATATGTACTAAAATATTAAGGCAGCACACTAGATTATCACAGGCTCTTCCCACATCTTAGTGAGAAATCACGGCCACTGTACACAAATTTTCATTTACTATTCCTTGCTTACTAGTTACTTTAGGATCCCTCCTCCTTAGTTGCAACAAGATGCACAGAGATATGAATTCATTCTTACTGTGGCTAACATGTCTGCTGAAGACTGGTGTTCCAACCTAAACTTTTTCTGATTTTATGACTTTAATCACCTATTTATGGTGCCAGAAATAAAGAGTAGCTAGTATGCTTGCATTGAAAAGAACATTGGTAATCTGTATTTACTGTTTAGGAGTACCAAATAGGTATTCATTTACCACCCCCTCCCTGCGAGCTACCATCATAACTTCGTTCGAAATTGTGATCTCAGCCTCCTCTTTCTTAAAAGTCGCGGCAGTGGGTTTACTTTTCCTTCATTTCCACCTTTGCTCTTAAAGTTTCTCTGCCAAAACCTTTATTTCTGTTCCGTGTTCTGCTTTTCCTTTTCTTCCCAGCCTCTCATTGCTTTCTTTTTTTCTAATGATCCAATAGGAATGATTTATAATTACTTTATGCCACAACCATAATTAACAACCTTGCCTAAAAGGTACATAGAAATGTGTGTGTGTGTGTGTTCATATTTTGAGATCCAGGAACTTAGAGTTGGGAAGGGATTGTAATACCTACTTCATAGGATTGTACTGAGTGTGAAGTAAAGCTTGATAAAGCTTCTGTTATGTATGCTAACCACCCCATAAATGAAGGTTGCTGTAACTATCTTCTGACCTGTGGACTGCCCCTGATCTCTTTGTTGTTATGTTGAGTTGAACCGAGGGGTGCCCAGTGTCAGCTGTAGAGAGTACCTGCTTAGCTTCAAATCCATGCCCTACCCCGCTTTAAATTAGGAGCTCTCTCTCCAATTCAGTTTCCTTATGTGTAAAATGGGGATGAGTTATACTTTCTCAGGGTTGTGAGCATTCAACAAGTTGATAGCATGGAGCATTGAGAACAGTGCCCGGCACATCATAAGCACTCAACAAAGTTAACATACTATTAATGATACTGATAATTATATTAATGACCTAGAATTCTCTTTTTAAAAAAATCTGAAAAATCTTAAATACACTGAAAAAATTATAACTGTGCAGAAAGTGGAAGTTGGTCCTCAGCTCCACCAAATCTTTTTTTTCTCCTGCCTCTTATTCTTGACTAATGTTGGTGCCTCATCATCCCATCTTGCCCTTGACAGTTCTGTTTCCAAATATCTCCTAACCTGGGATCTCCATAAGTTCCATCACCCCACTTCTTCATTACTAACCATCTACTCGATATTTCTCTTCGCATTAATTCCAGATGCTTCATTCTTCTAATTTCCCAAACCAAATTCCTACTTCATCTTCACGCTGTTCATTTCCCTGCCTCCAAAGAGGAAACCCTTCTGGGGCAGGGGGTTTGCTAGAAACAATAGTATCACTTCTCTGCCTTCCTACCTCCTCAAATTGAGTTTTCTTTGCTACTTCTCTTTTCATCAGCTAATCCCAATCTTCCAGTTAACAATGAAAAAACAAACAGTAAAAGGTTGTCTTTTTTACTACATAGCTATCAAAAAGGGTTCAGAAGCAGGCACATGGTCTTTAAGTGAAAACAGTAAACTTTCTATTATTTTTTAATTCTAATCAAGAAACAAGAGGTCGAGATTTATATTTTTCTCTCACAGAACTTTTATAAGAAAAGTACAGAAAAGCTGGTCTCCCTTGCCAGTGGAGAACTTCATCATATTGTCGGGATCTTCACTGTCGGACCATTGAGAATAAAGAAGAGGCCATCTTCTTCCTTCATAAAGAATATCCATTAGGTATATGGACCTCCCCAGGATTGAAATTTGTCCAGTACTCACTGGCGTAGCCATACCTGCTACTGAATGCAGAGAGACTTCTGGTCGAGTGGTTCAGACCTGCTGCTCAGAGCCCCTAGTAATCCCCCATGGACCTGGCTCCCCTTCCTCTCTGCCCCATGATCCAGCAACTGAAGGGTTAACCCCTGACGCAGCTGGAGGCCTCTGGGACCCATTTGGAGCTGGTGGTTAAATATTTGGAACAGTACCCCTGGACCGCCCCAGTGCCATTGCTTATTCCTAAAATGCTGGATTCAAGCAATACCTTTGCGTTGTCAAGACATTGCACCAGTCTCTAAGGAACAACTTCAGCTCTCCCACTGGAAGCGTCTTTCAGAGCAGAGTGGGCATCCGGCCACACGGGCCTTTGGGATTTGGAACAACCCAAGATGTGTGAGTGAACTTTAAATCTCATTGAAAAAAAAAAAAAGTTTAAGAGAATAAAAAGCAAGAAGAGAAAGAAGTTATTCTTTTAAAGCGGAGGCTAGGTCTCACTCCTTTGTCTGCCCACAGGACATAGCATAGGGCTGGCACAGAGTGTGCACATGATAAATGTAAACTGAGCCAGTGGATGCATGGGTGGGGGTGTTCCTCCTGCTTCAGGGTGAGGATATTGCTGTTGGAATGATAATAACTTACCTTTGTACAGCAGCTGAGAGTCACAGGCGCTTTGCACCTCGTAAATCTCAGATATAATTGACACCCATCAATGCTTTCAGTTTTTCCTCTCAAATGTAGTCCACAAAGTGTTTTCCAAAGGAAGATAGGGAGTTGGCCAAGAAATTACCAGCAGGGAGAAGATATTATAAATAATGGAAAACAAAGGCTTGTTCCTGGGGAAAGAAATAGGATTTGTTAGTGATCTGTGGGGGCCACAGTATACTTCAGCAATACCCTCCGGCTTGTAGCTCAAGCACGTGCTGTAAAGACCTACTCTCGTCGTCCCGGCCTGTCTTCCTCCCAGTCCCTGCCCTGCCCCTCCCCCCACAGCGAGCTCCTCGTCACCGCCACGCCCTTCAGCCTCCACCCCAGGGTGGATTAGGTTCCGCTCCTCTTACTTCCACAGTACCCTGCTATCATGTGATTTACCACATTAGGCTATAAGTAGGGTGTGATCTCTTTGGTGGAGAAGTTATGTTCTTGGATCTCCCGTGTGAGGCATTGGGAGTATTTCTAAAAATAACATTTGTATACCCTTCCATCAGAAAAAGGGTGGGGCCCAGGAATCTGCTTTTTTTTTTTAACCCACACTCCAGGTGATGCTTAAAGGATTTTGCAAACCGCTATGCCAGGAAACATGAAATTAGCTGGAAGAATGTACTTTGAGGTGTTTGTGTCTTTTCGGTGTTGGGCCTCGTAAGGAGAAATGCTTTCTATGCGTCGGGTCAGAGCTAAAATCCAGTCCTTTTGTACAAAATCCTGAGATCACTCTGCTTTCTACATTAATTCTGTTTTTGGGTGTGCATTTCTGTGTGCAGGCTTCTCTGCCTCGGGCCTCTTGTGTCACATGTGGCACAGCTGTGAGTCGAGGTCCTGACCCCCTTCCCCCAGAATTGGAAGAGCCCTTCCTGTCTGAAGATGAACTCCACCGAGCCCCTTGAGGATGCTCCCAACGGCACGTTGCTGCGCGCGCCTCGCTCCCAGGGAGGAAACGGCACCGCCGTCCCGGGGGACCTCCAGCACCTCATGCACACGGCCACTCTGGTCACCTGTACTTTCCTGCTGGCGGTCATCTTCTGCCTGGGCTCTTACGGCAACTTCATTGTCTTCTTGTCCTTCTTTGATCCAGCCTTCCGCAAGTTCAGAACCAACTTTGATTTCATGATCCTCAACCTGTCCTTCTGTGACCTCTTCATCTGTGGAGTGACCGCCCCCATGTTCACCTTCGTGCTCTTCTTCAGCCCCGCCAGAAGCATCCCAGATGCCTTCTGCTTCACCTTCCACGTCACCGGTTCGGGCTTCATCATCATGTCCCTCAAGACCGTGGCGGTGATCGCCCTGCACCGGCTCCGCATGGTGCTGGGGAAGCAGCCCAATCGCACCGCCTCCTTTCCCTGCACCGTGCTTCTCACTCTGCTCCTCTGGGCCACCAGTTTCACTCTGGCCACGCTGGGCACGCTGAAAACCAGCAAGTCCCACCTCTGCCTTCCCATGTCCAGTCTGACGGCCGCAGAAGGGAAAGCCATCGTGTCTCTGTACGTGGTGGACTTCACCTTCTGCGTGGCCGTGGTGTCGGTCTCCTACATCATGATTGCGCAGACGCTGCGGAAGAACGCTCAAGTCAGGAAGGGCCCCCCCGTGGTCACCGTGGATGCTTCCAGACCGCAGCCTTTCATGGGGGCCCCCGGGAAGGGAGGGGGAGATCCCGTGCAGCGTACCGTGCCGGCTCTCTACAGGAACCAGAATTACAACAAGCTGCAGCACATTCAGACCCACGGATACGCCAAGAGTCTTAACCAGGTGCCCCCCCCGGCGGCCAGCCGGCTCCAGCTCGTGTCGGCTGTCAATCTGTCCACGGCTAAGGACTCCAAGGCGGTGGTCACCTGCGTGATTATTGTGCTGTCCGTCCTGGTGTGCTGTCTCCCCCTGGGGATTTCCTTGGTGCAGGTGGTCCTGTCCAGCAATGGGAGCTTCATCCTCTACCAGTTTGAACTGTTTGGATTTACCCTTATATTTTTCAAGTCAGGGTTAAACCCTTTTATATATTCTCGGAACAGCGCGGGGCTGAGAAGGAGAGTACTCTGGTGCCTCCAGTACATCGGCCTGGGTTTTTTCTGCTGCAAACAGAAGACTCGACTTCGAGCCATGGGAAAAGGGAACCTGGAGGTCAACAGAAACAAGTCGTCCCATCATGAAACAAATTCCGCCTACATGTTGTCTCCAAAGCCCCAGAAGAAATTTGTGGACCGGGCTTGTGGCCCAAGTCACTCGAGGGAAAGTGTGGTCAGTCCCAAGATCTCTGCTGGGCACCAGCCCTATGGTCAGAGCAGCTCAACCCCCATCAACACCCGCATCGAACCGTACTATAGCATTTATTACAGCAGCCCCTCCCAGGAAGAGAGCATGCCGCCGAACTTACCGCCAGTAAACTCTTTGGGATTTGCCAATTCCTATATTGCCATGCATTATCACACCACTAATGATTTAATGCACGAATACGACAGCACAGCGGCCAAGCAGATCCCAGTGCCCTCCGTGTAGTGTCCTGGAGGCTGGAGGCTCTTGGGCAAACTGTTGGTGTTTCGGATACTAACTGATTTCTTTTTCACTTTTGTGAGACCAGCGGTAGATGAAAACGTCAAGATTCAGCAGAACAGTTGGCAGTTATGATCGTCTTCTGTCTCAAGTATTGGCATCTACTGATTTGTGGTTTCCTGACATTTTAAGATTTGATGTAAAAATTTATAATTTAGCTTTTTACCCTGACCTGTGCTCCGATCTTTGGTACTAAACTTTTAAATAGATGCCAGGAATGATCATGCTAGTGTATTCAAGGAGAATGAACTGATTGTGACCATCTGAGTCCGTGTTCGGGGTCTCTGAAGTACACCTGAGCTGGATTTTTTAAACAATGTGAAGGGATGATCTTCACTGAGGTGAATTTTTTTATTAATTGAACTATAAATTTTGATTCTTTGAAGTGTTCAAATGGGGAACAATACACTTTTTTTGGTAGCAGGCTTATCTGAATAAATAATATATTGTCAAGGCAGAAAATCAGAAATACATTCTTGGTAATTACTTACACAGGACACACACAGGCTTTAGGTACTTTGCTTTCCTAAGACAGTCCACCAAGTATTATGATTACTACCATTTCTTATGATAGACACTATTACTTTGTGGGAATTGACTAGCTGTATAGTTTTTGTTTTTTTTTTAAAGAAGTATGTTTTTGCGGGGCGCCTGGGTGGCTCAGTTGGTTAAGCAACTGCCTTCGGCTCAGGTCATGATCCTGGAGTCCCGGGATCGAGTCCCGCATCGGGCTCCCTGCTCA